TGTGTGTGTGTGTGTGTGTGTGTATAATCACTCTTCGTGGATTTCCGAAATTCAGAAAAATTATCTTAATACCTAATTTTACATATTGTAAGCTTCCAGAAAATTTAAAAAGGGTAAAATTCATAGTGATCGATCAGTCTTGTCTCCATACGCTCTGTAGCTGGGAGATAGCGGGTTCGATTCCCGCGGAAAGCCTGAATGAGATCTTTAATTTGTATATGTTCTTCAACTTGACAATGGCTTATAAGCCTTGTTTGTAAGGAGCTTAAAATTCTGCATGCGTATGTGTAACGGTAAATAAGCATGCCTTTTGCGTTAAATCCATTTTTTTAAAAATTCTGACGAAATAAAAAGTTAGCTTACTATTTACTGTCTGACAACGCTTATTAGTAACAATAAAGTTTTGTTTCACAGTTCTTTTCTTATTTTCAGCAATTTAATGCAAGACCAGAACGTAATATATTTTGCAGGTTCAAGCATACTGAGGTATTATGAGCAGCTCTTGATAAGTACGGTATCCACGACCTATAGTGCTTTAGAAACCCTTGTTTGATTTCTAGCTATTCTTTTTCTTGCTTTTTTATTTTCCAGCACTACTTGATTTTATTAATTTGAATCCGAACATCGTTAGGCATGAACCAAGTTAATCTTATTAAGAAACCGGTGTTGCATCTCTAGAGGATTGTAAGTTATTCTCTTGTAATTGCATAAGTTCTCCAAAGACTTCAGATTACGAATCCTTTCTGCAACACTTCAGGACATTAAACTTTCAGCCTCTCAGGTTTCATTTTAAATTATATAGAAAATTAGACTCGAAGAATCACGTATTACACTAACAATAGACCCCTAATAATCTTTCTTAATTATAACCAATTCCTTTCCAGATTACTGTTGTTGTAGATCATTTACGTCGCACTAGAGCTGCAGAATGGGCTATTGGAGACGGTCTGGGAAACATCAGAAAACATACCACCGCAATTTTGATCCTCTGCAGAGAGAACGACCTGCACGCGAAATCGAGCACTTTACAGTAGAACAGTTTAACAAGGACCAATATCGTACACTCTCGGTCCCTACCCAGACTGATCCAAGTGGTCACCCACCCGCACACTGATAGCAGCCAGCGATGCTTTAACAGCTTTGTAATGAGCACTCAAGCCCGCATATGTATGTGTAACAACTATTTTTATTGATTGCATATCGTATCGGGAAAACAGAACCGGGGATCCTTCAGAAGATAAGAATTTGGACGGTATGTCTTCGAATTATCCTTAGGAACGTTTCTGAAAACCATTGCCAATAGCCCATTGAACAGTTCTAGTGTGACGTAATTAAAGTACAGATGCTACATATCAAGAAAAATCCTATCTAGCTTCAGTTTAAAAGCTTTTGTTGTTTCTAATGCTACTTGCCAATCCAGCAAGCCTGATTTTATATATTATTTTATATCCGTCGTTGAACAGCCAACCCAATTTTTGGGTTTACGACTACTAATGTTCAACTCCGTAGCCTTGTAATTTTGAACCAACACAGGAGACAAGGAAACTCCTGGATCAGTATCCCCAAAGGTATTGATTTGTTATGGGAACACGGAGGACTTTACAACTCGACAGATTTAAAGTGCGTCAGCCACCATTTACTACACGGGGAATCTTCGGCCGGCGAACTCACGAACTCTTGGACATGGACCCAGTGCCCTACCAACCAGGCTATCCCGGCCGGCAAGCAAGCCTGATTGGTGAAATCAAGCGTATTTAAGGCAGAGGGAGCGTTTCTTGTTTTCCAGTGGCTTCATCTATGCCCAAGAATACGACTTCAACCGCACACACGTCATAAGCGCCGTTTTTAAATTGGACTCATTCACACATCAATTCTTTCAACCACAGATCGTAATTTTGATCTGAACGAGAGAACGATCACTCTCCAATTCAGTACCTCCAAAGGTAGGTAAGTAGGTACTTTTTTTACGTCGCTCTAGAGCTACACAATGGGCTATTGGTGAAAGTCTGTTGTTGTTGTTGATTTACGTCGCACTAGAGCTGCTCAATGGGCTATTGGCGACGGTCTGGGAAACATCCCTGAGGATGATCCGAAGACATTCCATCATAATTTTGATCCTCTGCGGAGGGGATGGCTTCCCTGGTTTGGTAGTCCGACGACCTGCGCGAAGTCGAGCACTTCACGGTAGAACAGTTTAACGAGCACCATTACCGTTCACCCTCGGTTCCAGGCTAATCAAAGTGGTACCGACCTGCTCACTGACCGCAACCAGTCATGCTTGACTTCGGTGTTCTACTGGGAACCGTGTCTTTACGATCCGTCCACTGCGGGACCCCCCAAAAGTATGATTTGTTATGGGAACATGGAGGGTTTTATTACCCGACAGATTTAACATGCACTAGTCACCATTTACTACACGGGGAGTCTTCGGCCGGTGGTGATCGAACTCACGACCCGTTGGAAATGGCCGTACTAACCTAGCTATCCTGTCCTTTAGTTCAAAAGCTAATTGGTAATTACATGCAGGAACAGGTGCATAAACTTTAAAACCTTTGCTTGCATATATTTTTTTTTATTGATTTTATTTCCTTGCATTAGCACCTAACACGACTGAGAGACTTAAAATCGACACTGTGTCAAAATGTCATAGGGGGCCTCCCTGGCCGAGCGGTATCGCCGGTCCAAACTCTCTGTTAAGCGTGGAGGTAGCGGGTTCGAATCCCGCCGTAACCCTGGATGTATTCTTTGTTATGTCTTTCTCTGAATTGTTCTATCTGTATTTTCTACTTGACAATGACTTATAAGCCTATATTGAGCACACAAGTCAGCAAATGTATGTAATTTCAATAAATAANAGCACTTTACGGTAGCACAGTTTAACGAGGACCAATACCGCACACCCTCGGTCCCTGCGCAGACTGATCCAAGTGGTCACCCACCCGCACATTGACCGCAGCCAGTGATGCTTGACTTCGGTGATCTGCTGGGAACCGTGTCTTAACGATCAGTCGACTGCGGGACCACTGACAGCAGCCAGTGATGCTTTAGTAGCTTTGTAATGAGCACACAAGCCCACAGATGCATGTGTAACAATAATTTTATTTATTGTATATCATATCGGGAAAACAGAGCCGGGGATCTCCACCCCCTTCAGAAGATAAGAATTCGGAAGGAATGTCTTCGAATTATCCTTAGGAATGTTTCTGAAAACCATTGACAATAGCCCATTGAGAAGTTCTAGTGCGACAGTACTGCTGCTACATATCAAGAAAAATTCTTTCTAACTTCAGTTTAAAAGCTTTTGTTGTTTCTAATACTATTTGCGAATCCAGCAAGTCTGATTTTATATTATTTTATATCCTTCGTTGAACAGCCAACCCAATTTTTGGGTTTACGACTACTAATGTTCAACTTCGTAGCCTTGTAATTTTGAACCAATACAGGAGACAATGAAACTCATGGATCAGTATCCCCAAAGGTATTGATTTGTTATGGGAACATGGAGGACTTTGCGACTCGACAGATTTAGCGTGCATCAGTCACCATTTACCACGAATTCTTGGACATGAGCCCAGTGCCCTACCAATCTGGCCCGGCAAGCAAGCCTGATTGGTGAAACCAAGCGTATTTAAGGCAGATGGAGCGTTTCTTGTTTTTCAGTGGCTTCATCTGTGGCCAAGAATACGACTTCAGCCGCACACACGTCATAACCCGTTTTTAAATTGGACTCATTCACACATCCATTCATTCATCCACAGATCGTAATTTTGATCTGAACGAGAGAACGATCTCTCTCCAATTCAGTACCCCCAAAGGAAGGTAGGTACTTTATTTACGTCGCTCTAGAGCTGCACAATGGGCTATTGGTGAAGGTCTGGGAAATATTCCTGAGAATAATCCGAAGACGTGAATGACATCGCAATTTCGATCCTCTGCAGAAGGGATGGCTCCCCTGGTTTGGTAGCGGGACGACCAGCGCGAAGTCGAGCACTTTACGGTAGAACAGTTTAACGAACACCAATACCGCGCACCCTCGGTCCCAACGCAGGCTGATCAAAGTGGTACCCACCTGCTCACTGACCGCGACCAGTCACGCTTGACGTCGGTGTTCTACTGGGAACTGTGTCTTTATGATCCGGGACCCCCCAAAAGTATGATTTGTTATGGGAACATGGAGGGTTTTATTACCCGACAGATTTAACATGCACCAGTCACCATTTACTACACGGGGAGTCTTCGGCCGGTGGTGATCGAACTCACGACCCATTGGAAATGGCCGTACTAACCTAGCTAGCTATCCTGTCCTTTAGTTCAAAAGCTAATTGGTAATACATGCAGGAACAGGTGTATAGATTTTAAAACTTTTGCTTGCATATTTTTTTTTGATTGATTTTATTTCCCTGCATCAGCCCCTAACACGAACGGGGTAACAGAGAGACTTAAATTCGACACTGTGACAAAATGGCATAGGTTCATATTATAAACACCCTATTAAAAGCGAACAGCATTCAAGTGCTAAATTGGTACTGAATGAAGAGTTTCTATGCTTTCCATTTTTAAATCTTCAGATTTTTTCCACTGATTTCAGAGAGCGGACACGTGGCTTTCTTTGACCAGGTGCTTTGTCTAGGATCTTAATTCTTCACACCGATCTTTACCGTAAATGAAGGAATGATTTATCGGTAACTTTGTCCTCATAATCGTAACCGTTAAGTGGATTCTGATTGTGTTCCCCTCCAGAAGATTTCAAAACTATTTTTTTTCTAGAATATCGTTTCAGTATGTCCGGTACATCGCAAAAACCTTTAGGCTGACTTGTTTCTAAACAAAGTTCTTAAAAATCAAAACAAAGTTTGGAGAAGATTCTTTGGTACTGAAGGGCGTTAATAAGGCATCGGTTCCCAAAATATTAGAAATGTCACCTGGTAAAAAACACCGTTATAGTACTACGCCGTTGAAGTCAGTAGATGATTATTACAAGGAGCACGTAAAGTCATTAATCGAAAAAGGAAATAATGAACATATAACAGAGTACCTTTCTAAGCAATGTGATGGGTGGAAACGATTATATCCTAAAACCCATGCTGTTTTACTTGCTCTGACTTCTGGTGCGGAAAACCCTGCAGAGAGTCAATCTCAATCTTCTGGTTCGGATAGCACTGCAGTGAGTCAATCTAAATCTCGGAGAAATACTGGAGAAAGATCCCTATCTGATGTTACTGCAATTGTTCATCAGCTACCAGAAGTATCTCTTAATTCTCCATCAACCAGTGGAATGAAACTACATCAATCGATTCAAAATACAGAAATAAACCGAAGCACCGCAGTTAGTGCATCTGTTGAGATTCCTGAACAAGAAGACACTAGCAAAAAGCGATTTCAACCTCAGAGTTGCACAGGAAAAAAATCTCGATTAGATACTGCTTCACCGCGTACACTACCTCTGAATTCTCCTAGAACCAGGGCAATAATTCAAGATGATTTGATTCAAGATACAACGACAAAGTCAAGCACCGTAGTTACTGAACCCGTTGAGATTTCTGGACTGGAAGGAGCTAGTAAAGTGCTTGCTGACCCTTCACTCTGTCATGAGCCATCACAAGAATCTCTAAGCTCTTCAATCTCTGGTAACATGAGACCAGCGGATTCAGCTGAAGAACTATCTGCAAAATCCAATCCAGAATCTATTCCACTCGCGAAAATGCCATCGCAAGAAGCGATTGTCCTAGCACGGGATGAATTTGTTCAAGAATTAGAGCGCATTCTTACGGATTGCGAGAATCAGATGCCAGCAGGACCAGTGAGTGGACATGAGAACGATGAACTAAATGCGTTCCTGACACAATTCACAGAAAAAATCCAAAAGTTTCGAGAAACTTTACAGAAATCATTGGCTGTAATTTCCGAAATGGAATTATCGCCATTCCTAAATATATCGATATTATCAATACTGCAATTAAATGTGCTTAATTCGGGAATTGATGTCGAACAAAAGTGGTTAGAATTCGCACATTTACGTGAAGGAAACTCAAATCTCGATATGACAAATATGACCCATCATTATTACGGCTGCTGGTGTTATTTCGGAGCGTATCGGGATGCAAGTGAAAAGTACATTAAAACCATTCCTAAAGAATTTTATCATAGAGAACATCAAAACTCTTCTGAAGTTCCCTGAACTTTTGTGCATAATTTTGTTGGAGGATTAAGATATATTGTAAGTTCTAATTTGATTTAGTTGTAATAGTTGCTGTTTTTTAGAATATTTGCATGCAATAAATATTTTCTTAGATCACAGTGAATTTCTTTGTAAATAATTTGCAAAATATCAGTCAAGGAATTTTTTTTGTTCTCAATTTTAAATATTTTTGTTAGAAATGTGTATGAAAAGTATTATCCGAAAGAGGATAGGGTATAATTTATACTACATAGAATAAAACAAAAGTAACGTAAATAAAATACAAATAATTACACAGAAATAGACATTTCAGTATTGTAAACAAAAATCTTTATCAGTGTATGAACACCACTCATTTGTGCTCTATTAAAGTTGTTTTTGCTTTTTAATGTGTAATATGCTGCAAAAGTTCGTATGCTACAGTTTTGCGTTCCTGTTAGAACAACATATCTATTTCTCACTATTTTACTGGAAAATTTCGCATTTCTGAATTGTTGAAAGTCCTCTTTACTCATCTTCTATTTTAGTTAAATTTTTGAATTTTGTTTTCTCGACAACTTTTTTTTAAATTACCAAACTTGTTCTGAATAATGGTGGGAAATAGTGGTCGTTTTATTAAGATAAGGAAAAATTGCACTAAAGCTTTTAGAACTTTTGCAGATTTAAAAAAAAAAAAAGCATAAAAATTATGTAGTTAGTAATTTTGAATGATTAATTGACTGTGCCCGATGCCTTACAGAAATCCGAACAACCTTTTCTGTTAATTACCTCCCTACTTGTACAGAACGTTGATAGCAGATCTTCATCTGCCATATGTATTTCTGTTCTCGTAGTTTCAGTTCATTTTTGGATTGATCTTCAGTTCTGAAATCCTTAGTTTTCAAAATTTTAAACCAAATTTTTTAACAAAATTTTGTAAAGCTAGAGTCAGAAAAACTCGTTTCATGTATGATACCACGAAGGGAGCATCGTGCAATCTACACGACAACGGTTCTAAAGAAACTAAACCTTGCTTCCCGACCTAAATTATCAGCTTCGGATACAAATATTCTGCAGCGAAAGGATATGTTCGAAGACTTTGAATGATTTATTTTCACAACCAAACGAATCAAACAATTTGGTTAGGGAACAAGGTATTCCAAAAACACTAAGAAAACAAAAGTGTCAAAACTAAAGAACATTCTGAACCAAAAAGAAAATTAGATTCATCATTAACCCCTTGACATACGAAAACGTCTGGGAGACGTCATTTGGTTCTTATGTCAAAACAATAATTGACGTGTCTCAGACATCTTCAACACAGAGATACCAATTTGCTCCAGACAGCAAATAAAAATTTTTAAAGTGGTAGTTTATCAGTTGTGATTCTTGGTTTAATAAATTCAATTTAGTTGATTTTTATCCACTACTATTTCTAAATAATTCGTAGGCTTATATAATTCACCACTTTATTGTAGTTATGAATGTTATACCTTTTAAAAAGTAAACAAAAATAGTCAAATATTTTCAAAATTTAGTTTGTAGTTGTTTATCGTTTTATTAATTATTTTGGCTGTGTCCGAAGCAGTTGGCATTTCTGTCAACATTCCGTTGCGAGTTGACAATCAACGATCGTTTCTCTACCAAGAAATTAATAATTCCGAGAGTTTGTTTAGTGATATGTCAAGGGATTTAATGGAAAATTTAAATGGAATTATCACCAATTTTAAATGTTATGTCGTTATTAATACCAGATTCATGTCCAAATAGATCACCAATTTTAGTTGTTACGTCGTTATCAATACCAGATTAAGTCTAAATAGATTATCACCTATCTTAATGTTAATCTTAATGTGATTAAAGCGGGAATTGATGTTGAAAAAGTGAAACTGGAATTTTCCCATTTGCGTTATGAAAACCTGATATCCAAGATTGTCCCCAGCTAGTTTAGATTGACAAACGCCCATGATTGCCCACGCAATCATTTTTATTCTCTGGGCGATAAACCAGATAGTTTCATTAAGTTAAAAATTATTCAATTGAAAGAATCAAAAATGTTTTTGCTAGTATTTTCACAAATTTGGTTCCATAGAATGAGTTTCCCATTTTCTAAGGATATTAATTTGAACCTCATCATTTTGCTCGGTTACCATAGCAACTTCACCCATAAGCTTATCATTCGCAGTTTATCCCTTAACAATTTGCGGATGTATTTTAAACTTATCTTCCCTTCATGTTTAGTTTTAATTATTAATTACAATAATAATTGTTAATTATGTAGTTAATTACAATTTGATTATGACAAAATAGTAATTATAAATAATCATAAATATGACAACGACGAGTGTTCAAAAATAATCAAATATCATACCCGTCATATCATTAGCCATCATACCCGTGTATTGAACCCAATAAGTAAATGTACCATGCCGCTTAAATAGTAGCATTGGTCTGGTAAGGATTAAGATAATGTGAGATTTTTTTATGAAATAATAAAAGAGCAATGCTATGTTTTAAACACTAAACTTTACTTGTAAGCTTTATTTTTGAACAATTATCATTATGAAGGATGTTTTAATAATATCAAGAAATGGTATATAAATATTACGGGAAAATACCACTAAATAAGGGATAAGTTAAAAATTTATTGATAAGTGCCATTTTGTTTTATAACCATCGTTGAACAGCCGACCAAATTTTTTGGTTTAGGAATACTAATGTTCAACTCCGTAGTCTTGCAAGTTTGAACCCTATCCAGAAGACAAAGCAACTCCTGGATCAAGTATTTGGGAAAAATTTACCTTCGTGGAGGACTTTTTGATGGAACTAACACGCATTTGCGTTACAAGAGTGGAAAGCCCCGAAAACCTCCCACGGCCAGCCTGAAGGCAAGGGGACTCTAAAACATGATGCGTCTACCACTGAGGATATTTTATGTCAGCACTGCTGTCGGTGCTAGCCGGAGGCTAAAATCGTATCAACCAGCCATCGCTGGGATTCGAACCAGATCACCTCATTGGAAGGCTCTATCCCCTGAGCCATCATGTCTCGATAAGCACCATTATAGTTTATATTAATTTTATGATAAAAAAACAGCCAAAGATATATTTATCTTCCTTGTTAATTGATCACATCATGTTTTTTTCCGTCCTTTGAGAATATATAAAATGGTAGAGGCAATCATCTTACTTCCATTAATTTAACATAAAGTGGAAACATCTCATTTTATAGTTATTACATTATGTTAGCCACCCATATTCAAAGGATGATCTTGTATATTTTTTTGTTAATAACATTTGATTTTTAGCGAATCCGGTAAAGGGAGATTTTGGAGCACCAACAAATATGGAAATTCCACTAAACATTCCATAGCGCGGAAGAAGCGGGTTCTAATTTGTGCTATTTGTTCTTCGACTTGACCAGGAGTTATAAATTATATTTTGAGATAACTATATATGCCTGCTATATGTATTTATAACGACAAATGAAATAAGTAAATAAAATTAACATATAGATTTCTGCATTAATTGAACATTGTCCAGCTCTGGTGCGACGTAAATAAAGTACCAACCATTAATAGGGCCTTCATAGGAATTAATCATTGACATAATTGAAATTGAACTTTTCCAACGCATGCTCTTGACTAACGCTTTATTTTATGATAGTGTGACAGTTTTGTGTCATCGTCTTAAAATATTTCAATCGTTTAATAACTCTAAATTGCATTTATTAATTTATTGGTTTGCATACATGACAGCTTGTGTGTTCTTCTCAAATAGAAAGACAGACAGCATAATTCAGAGAAAGACAGCACCAAAATACATCCAGGTTTACGGCGGAATTTGAACCTGCTACAGATCGTTTGGTGGGTAATACCGCTCGGCCTAGGAGATCCCCCCTCTACGTTGAGTTAAGTTGATGACGATGAAGAGGATCTATGTTTCTCATTTTTACCCTCTTTGCCTCGAAAGGTCCCGCAGTGGACTGATCGTTAAGACACGGTTCCCAGCAGATCACCGAAGTCAAGCATCACTGGCTGCGGTCAGTGAGCGGGTGGGTGGCCACTTGGATCAGTCTGCGTAGGGACCGAGGGTGTGCGGTATTGGTCCTCGTTAAACTGTTCTACCGTAAAGTGCTCGACTTCGCGTGCAGGTCGTCGGGCTACCGAAGCAGGGGTGCAATCCCCTCTGCAGAGGATCAAAATTGTGATGGCTTGTCTTCGGATCATCCTCAGGGATGTTTCCCAGACCGTCGCTAATGGCCCATTGTGCAGCTCCAGTGCGACGTAAATTAACTACTACTACTACTACTTGCCTCGAAAGAGATGAATTTGAGTAGGGGCCTCCGTGGCCGAGCGGTATCGCCCGCCAAACACTCAGTTAAGCGTGGAGGTGGTGGGTTCGAATCCTGCCGTAACCCTGGATGTATTCTTTGTGATGTCTTTCTCTGTATTGTGCTATCTGTTCTGCTACTTGACAAAGGTTTATAAGCCTTAATTGAGCACACAAGCCTGCAAATGTATGCTGTACCAATAAACCAATGAAGTTGAGCAATCGTTAAAGTAGCCGAGCAGAGGAAAATTTCAGAGATCCAGAATGAAAAGCTGATTCATCCTACAGTTTGTAGCTCACAGAATTGCGAAAACAAATTTTGTGCTCTAATACAAATTTTGTGCTCTAATAGTTGGGCAACAGAAATATAAAATAAGCAAGATAGAAAAATTCTTAACTGGAACACACTTTTCCTCAGGTAATCGGAGTGGCTTCAGAAGTTAAAATTAAAAGTTACGATTCGTTTAGTTTAAGTAAAGCTTAAAAGAGTAGGATACACAGGTGTAAGTAAGAATAGGATTCATAGGTAATGGAATCGTTTAGATAAGCTTACAAAGAACACTTATTTTTTCAAAAAGTTTTCATTTGGGTCGTATTAACAACTCTAAATGATTAGTAGTTTTATTCATTTATTTAAATTACTTATTTTTACATTTACATGTGCAGATTAGTCTCCTCATTTTAAAATGCGGCTCGTCTAGATAAGAAGACACATACATTCACTGTTATGAACCCGCTACCTCTAGAATACAAAACCGTTAACAGCAAGAGGGCCAGGGTGACTTCTATTAGCAGTAATATCTCAGAAA